TCTTTAATGGGTACTCTAGGTTGCTGTAATTTCCATGTCTGCCACGATGGAGTGATCAAAGGCCTATTCTTTCAGATCACTCCTGGTTGCTAAGATTGATGATTGTGATTTTCTTTTCTTGTAGATGTATCTTTTCTTATTGATGTGTCCCCTGTTGATGATATAGTAAACTGAATGCATGCCTTTTTGATATGACAGCCTTAATTCTTCTTACTACTTTTGCAAGTCATTGTACATCAATGTGGCATCAATGTGTTCTTTCTATATAATTGAATTTATGATGGCTGAACTTGTCTTGACGATAAATTGTGTATAATATGATTGTGGACTGTGTATAATATGATTATTTCATGCTAGTATTCATTAATGAGAGAATTCAAGGCTTGCCTCTAAGTTCAATCAGAATTTTGATGGTTTTGTATTATTATTGCATAGGTCCTTGCATATATGACATTTTAGTTGCCAATTAGAATTGGTCATAAAACCAATTAAGTGGTAGTCAAGAGCTACGTGGTCGGTACTCCAAGCAGGAGGCTTTTCACAAACCGAGAGACTAAATCGGAGGGATTGTTTTTACTTGGGATTTTTAGGCAGCCATTGGAAATTTTTTACAGGACTGTTTGACCACTCACAGTACACTGACATTGTCTAATGGACTTGATTTATGAGCATCAGCTATGGCTAAAACTGACACTCCTTAGCATAGGGGTTCTCCAATGAGAAATTCCATAGAGAGTTGTAATGCTGGTAGTCCTGTTCCTAATTTTATTTCTCAATTGTCTTTCTGTGTCATGACTGTTGGATTGTTATGGCAGAAATTACAGCCTGCTGGCAGATCAATTGATACATATGCTGCACAGTGTGAAAAATGCTTCAAATGGAGGGTGATTGATACGCAAGAAGAGTATGAAGAAATTAGAAGTAATGTCCAAGACAGGCCTTTCTTTTGCCAAACAAAACCTGGTGTGACCTGCAAGGACCCTGCTGACATAGATTATGATGCTACTAGAACATGGGTTATTGATAAGCCTGGCATCCCAAGGACCCCAGAAGGTTTTAAGAGATCCTTAATTCTCAGAAAAGATTTTTCCAAAATGGACGCTTACTACATCACTCCAACAGGGAAGAAACTGAGAACACGCGGAGAGATTTTATCCTTCATAGAAGCTAACCCAAAATACAAAGATGTATCCCTTGAACACTTCAATTTTACAGTCCCAAAGGTAATGGACGACACTGTTCCCCCCAATTTTCAGAAAAAAGGTACTAGCAGAAGTGGCAATAAAAAGCACAAAACACTAAAAGATGTTTGAGGGAGTCACCAACCAGCAATCCTTCTGTGAATTAGTTAAATGTCCCTTCCAATGTTAGTTTGTGATGCATGATGAATTAGGACCTTCAACAAATTGTTTGATCAGATTTACGTTCTTGTTTAATAGCAAAGGATGTGTTATCTAGTATTTTCCATTAATTTTCTATATATAGTACTGGATTTTTGTTTTTTTTTTTTTTTCAACTTTACTGCTGTGATGCTTGCATATATTTTTCTTCACGAGTGTTAGGGCAAGGAATCAGTACTGTGGGAATTTTTATTTCTTTTAAATTCTGATTATAGAAAGTTTCCTTGCTATGAAATGTTTATTATTCCATCGTTTGAAGAGTTCCTTATTCCCAATTTGCTAAGGGTATTTATTTGTTCACAATTAAATTGGAGTAGACAGCACCAAAGATCAATTAAGGATGGGAGTTCGAACTGAAGTCCGAACCAAAATTCTCGAAAACTTATTCTTATACTATTTATGTAAGTTCTGAAAAATTATACTTCGGAGACTAGTTATTTTGTTGCATTTAGTAAATAATACTAAAATCAGAAAAGTCAGTAGGTAATGGTTATACTGAAAAATATGATTGGGAAGACATTGTTTGAAAAATTCTTGTAACATAATAAAAAGTTACCCTCTGAAAGATAAAAACTTGTTTTTCAATCTCTTCTACCGCCAGCTAAATGGTATGGTTATGTTTGTATATACAGATAGATATAAGCATGAATATGATACAAATCTTTTGAGAAGTTCAATGTCATCTTTTCATACAAAATTTTAGTAGTTTCTCCTCTTTACTTTATTTTGTTGCATTTATACCTCAAGTTCTTATTTTTTCTTCTGAACTTAAATATGTTAAATGGCCATGCGAAAGAGGTCAAATAAGCACTTGTAAGAGTTTCAACTAGGTACTCTGAGTCGTCTGACCAAATTGGGCTTGTCTCTACAATATGGGTTACTAGAATTGTCTTTATTTTGCTCCAAGCTTTGCATGAAATTCAGATCAAAGCGAAGAAAACTCTGCACTTCAACTGTCCATCTTCATCATACAATTTGGAGAAAAAAAGCTAAAAGCTGTAATCAGAGAAGTGTGGGACAATTCTGCATTTTCATCAGGGAAGATGTCACAAACAGATTGGTATTATTCATTTCCTTTTCATCTACGAGGGTCCGGATGCATATATTTTTCTTTTCATACACATTACAGGACCTGTATATAGCTTACATTTACAGTAACAGGAAAAAAAATTTAATCAAGCCAAGTGGCCTTGTGGTTACTCTCCTACTCTACCCATCAGAATTGCCCATATTCAAGCCTTCTTGGCTTTGAGGTATAATCAGGAAAAAATGCAATGCCACAAAAAATATTCTGATTTTGGCTCATTATTTCTCGAACAAATACTGCCTTGTCCCTGTTAGTCCACAACCTGCAAAACTTTTGTACAAGCATCTCCTCAGCATTTGAATTTCTTGAACATGGCAATGATGATCTGCAGCCATTGAGCTTTCCAGGACTATTAAATGAAGAATCACTGACTCATTTGTATTCATGACACTAATAAGGCATGAATCAGATCTCACTTCGGCC